ATATTCGAATTTTATGTTCGAATTTAATTCGAACAAATTCGAACAAAACATTCGAAATAGAAAGCCACTTTCAACCACTTTCAGCCTCATATCTCCCGCACCCTTATAGCTATCGAGACGCAACCACCCTATGCACGAATGGAAACTTGGGGCTACCACCACATACAAACACCATTCACGTGCGATGTGTAGTTTTGGCAGAAAAGTGAAATATAGGGACATACATGTCCATTTATATATATATATAGAGATTAATGTGTAAAAATAAATACCCATTCAGTGATGACATCTAAAATTTTGTATTTTCTAAAAATTATTTAATATAAGATTTCATTTTCATTAAAAATAACAATTGTACCAATGCAAAATTTATAAAGTTTATGTAATCACATCACTACCAGCAGAAAAGAAAGTATTTAGTAAAAGATTTCAAAGTTTGATTTGAGATATTAATGTTTGTAGAATATAATTTATGACTTTAGCTAATGTTATGATTAAATAAATTTAAAAAAAATAATAGGAATAATTAAATTTACTTTTATTCTAGTTAAATTTTCTTTTTGCAGGTTTTATGTAAATTCTTTAAGGTAAGTTTTAATTTAAAAAATATTTCTTAAAATGTTAAAATTACTATGTAGAGTATTATGAAAAAAAAATTGTAATATTATTTTTAAGTTTTAATATCATTTTCTTTCCACGAAAAAAATATGTTTTTAAAATACAAAACGTTTTCAAATTATGCATTCATCTTTAAGATATAATCAAAATGAAAAAATTTAAATGTTATTTTGGACAAATGAAAACAAATAATAACATTACTCTGTAACAAAATACAGAAACTGGGGTTTTTAGGTTAATTGTTTTATTTTTATATAATTTTATAATTGTTTTTATAAAATTAATTTGTCAAAAATCTATTTATTTATTACATCAGTTAGTTGGAGAAATTCATTAGTACTCAAATAAAACAAAAAAATGTTTGGAAAAAAAGCAGGTCTCAATGGCAGTTACAATATCTAGATCACACACACTGGTGATCTAGATATTAAATGTCTAACACACACACACACATGTTAGACATTTGGCTGCCCTATCATGTGAATTGCAAGTGGATTTATAATGTTACCAATAGAAGTTTACTAGTATGTTCTTATGATAGTTTTATATAGTTGATGGGTTTAAAAAATCCATTAAAATATTCGATTTATTTATTCTAATTTTATTGAAATCAAAAATGTACAAGATATAAAACAGAAATAACAAAATATATTCATAAAGATAGAATTGCACTCTTCTTGCCTTCTTATTTGCCAATTCATCAATAACATTTGTTAATTCTAAACTTTCTTACATTTCTTTTTCTATGGCCAACAGTCCTAGATTATTAAACCTTTCTTGAGTCATTGGCATTCTTAAATATGTTTTTGTAAGTTTGAGTTTCAAAAAACTCCTTCACCTAACTGGTAATGTCAGAAAAATTCTTGAAGCTATAAACAAATTAAGAAATGATGACATCAAGTTATTTTTTGCAAATATGTCAAGTTTTTTAATGCATCTGCAATTCCACTATTCAAATTTGTATGTGTTATTAGCTCATTGAAGAGCTCAAGACCATCAACATCTTTGAAGATATAAGCACCAAGTTTTGGCTCTATGGAAGACTTACTGCACACTATTTGTGTATGATAAGTCCTCCATAGAGCCAAAATTTAGTGCTAATATATTCAAATTGTAATATAAGGACAAAAGACAAATCATCAATCATCAACATCCTTAATTTTTTTACTTCCTTTGTTAATTTGAAGGAAAACATCTAAATCAAAACAAGATTTTTTAAAATTTCATCTTTAGTCATTTCTCCAAATTCATAAAAAAATTTAAATCTATTATTACATTCATTTAGATTTTCAAATCCTTCATGATTGGAATTTTAAGCTGTAAAATACAATTTTTTCTAACAATTGTTTGTATCAACAATTGTTAGATAAAATTGTATTTTAAACAATTCTATTGGATTTAAGATTTGTTCTTCTGGACTTTCATAATCAAAATGCCAAACTTTAGTTCTACTCCTGGAAATTCTGCCATTATATTTACTTTGGGAGCTAAATCTGGTTCATTTACACTAAATTAAAATAAATAAGCACAAAATGAAAACAGTACCTGTTGTTTATTTTTTATCAGCAAAAGTTCTATCACATAATTTCTTACATTTGGATTTACAATTTATGCACCTATTGTCATAAAAGTGTTCCCAAGACTACAAATAAAGATATCCCTTGATTAACGCATTTAATTAATCTCTTGATGCTACCATGTACAGTGGTGCCTCGTATAACGTACGCCTCAAATAACAGATGCTGTGAACAATGGACTTTCTGTTTGGCTGTTATGTGACTCGAGCAACGGACTGGCTGCGAACAACAGGCTTTCCGTTCAGCAGTTATGTGAGGCGAACAATGGACTTTCTGCGAACAAGTGTGAATGATGTAGTCTGTAGTGTCTTTGTAATCCAAAATGATAATTGGTAGACGAACGAACAGCAATTGGTTAGAAAACATTATGTTTTATTTAAAAATTTCTTTTCTAACCAATTGCTGTTCATTCGTCTACCAATTATCGTTTTGGATTACAAAAACGCTACATACTGCATTTGATGATACAGCAACCACGTCCTCTACATTAAGTGTGAATGATGTTTCCACTCTTTTGCCATTGTCAATGACAATCTGCTATTTTTAGAATATATTAGTATTATTAGAATATATTAGTATATCTGAAGTACAGAGCTCCCGTTGGGATTCGGCTTGCTCCCTTGTTTATTTCCGTACATCACCTCAGTGCAGTGTATTTACATTTATTCAAGTGTTGTGCAAATCATGACTTCTAAAAAAACAGAAAGGTGATTTCAATTGAAACAAAGCAAAAAATCATCAGAAGGAGTGAAAGTTGACAAAAACTTCCTTGTCAAATGGAAAGATGTTCAAGAGTTTACCAACACATTATCCAAACAGAGTTGAGGCCAACAGGATCAATGATCTCTACAATGACACCCTTGCCCATCATTTCCGACAGGTGTTGAAGAAGAGAGAGAAACAGACCACCTTGGACATGTTTTTCAAGAAGCGAGCTGCCAAAAGACAAAGGATGGAACAAGAGGAGTTGACCCTGCAAGCCCTGGTAGCTTCTCCTGAATCTGACTCTGATTAAAAACAATAAAAAGAGACCTGCTACAATGTGTAAAAAGTCTGTATCTGTATGAATGTGTGAAAAAACTGTTTCTTAACTTCCTTTTCACAACATCTGACTACCTGGCATAATTGATGACTGCTCCATTTTCATTTTTTTTATGGTACAGTACGGTTATTTTATGCCGTGGAACAAATTGTGTTTTAACATGTATTTTTAAGGGAAAATGTGTTTTGTATAACGGACTTTTTACTTAACAGATGTGCACCTGAACGGATTAAGTACGTTATATGAGGCACCACTGTACATCAAAATAGCATTAATCAAATTCAGTGGTACCTTGGCCTTGGTCTTGACCAAACAATCTTGACTCGCAAGAACAAATTTTTGGTTAATAACAAATATTTTTAGTTCAACTTTGTCATCCATAAGAGAAGTCTTCTATGATAAAAATATGTAACCAATTTAAAAGTACAATAGAGCGTTGTTTATTCGAAAGTTGGTTATATGAAATGTTAGTTATCCGAACGAATTCCAGTTGGCAAATTTAATTTTCGCTAGTGCTATGGCGCTGCATTCTTTCGCTATATCTTGGGCTACTCCAATATTTTTTTTGTTGGTATGTGTGTTTTAGCTGGCATCACTGGCACTTTTGTGTGGTGTTTTTCTCAGGACTGTGTGTTGTGCTGAATCGAATGTTTTTGATACTAAATCACCTTCTAAAGTATAATTTTTTGTTTTTATATTTTTCAATATATTTATTTTGTTTGTAAAAATAAAGAAATAATTTTTAACGATACAATATTTTTTACTTTTATTTGCTGGAAATTTTGAATTTAGGTGTGATTTGCGGATACAATAGCCATGATTATTATTATAAAAATTTTCGTTAGGCTTAACATCGATGAAAATTCAGCACGAAGTGACACGCAACGAAGAAAAATTTCAACATGGGATAGGGTAATATATTTTTTAGTACATAATCGGTTATTCGAAAAAGAAGTTATCCGGACAACCCCAGTCCCCAATTGATTCGGATAAACGATGCTCTACTGTAAAATGAAACTTTAGAGATGCCTACCTTTGTCAGACAACCTGTTTGTTTTTTTTTTTTACTTAATGCATGTGAAACACAATTATTTTGTTAGTGATACACTAAGACTTTTTTTGCAAGTTTACATGTTGTTATTCATTGATTTTTAACAATTTCTTCCTGAAATTTCTTTTCAACATTTTGGCACCTTGTATGCTTTGTAACCTTTAGTTCAAAATTTCCTGAATGAAACTTTCAAAACCACACATATGACATGTCCAACATTTAGGAGCATCTTTCCCATATACTATGAATATTTTTTACTGTTTGTATAGCATTATATTTTTTGCAAAACTTAAAAAGCATAATGTGCCTGATATGCATTTTATCTACAGATTTTGATTTGATTTTATTCAAACAAAATGCAAGTAAAGTTTTAAAATAAGCTTCTAAACAAAGAATACAATATCATATTAACAGTAATGTGTTAAATTTCACAACTACTGTAATTAAACTACATACCTATATCAGAAATCACCCTAAGCATGAAAATAGCAAATTTACCAACACCTTATTTGCCGAGAAAAATATATCTATGTTAGGTAAAGATGGTCAGGTGGCAATGTCTTCTACATTCACCTGTGTGTTGATGTGAGTCATGGCCTTGCAACATTATCCTCTCCAGTGGATGTTGATAACCATCCAAGTCACTGCTCATCTCTGAGTTTCACACTTATCATGGAATTGTCTGCATTGTTGCTGTAACATTTTACTTTGACATTATGTCTAATTCATACACTTCTACCAGCTGCTTATGGATCTCAGTGTCAAATGTGCTAAGTGCCCATTAATAGTGGACAACTGCTCACACTTTATCCTTTGTATATCTCTGAAAGTGACATTTGCTATCTTGTTTCTCAGTGTATTGGGCAAGCATTTGTGATAACTTCTGACTACTGATGCTCATGCACAACATGCACCTTATGACAAAACAGAATGCATTTTAAGAATGATGATGTCTCTACAAGTTAGTACATGATATTTTTTATCCTATAAGCAATGTTGTAACTAGCTTTTCATCTGGCTTATACAAGGTTTTATTTTTGTACTTTTTGATTTTTTGGGAAATAAATTAATAATAAAACAAATATGATAAAGCAATTGTTTATAAATAATTTTTATATGCAAGAATTATTTAGGATCATTTACATGTATTTATAAACTATAATATTATTACTGTATATTTAACAATTTTTTATGTCAGTTTTTTTTTGAGGCCTTTTTGTCGTAGACCCTATCTATGCACCTGTCTAGTTGTGGTACTGCCTATAAGTGCATTGACTTTGAAAATATGGATATAGGAAACTTACTTTCAGACTATTCTATATTCTATATATATATAACAAATAAATAAATATTTTAATTTTTATTCAATCAAAATTTTAAATAAGGTTATTCATTTTAGAAAAGGTCAATTTCAAGGTATTCCTGTAATTTTTGTTCCTGGAAATGCTGGAAGTTATCGTCAAGTTCGTTCTGCAGGATCAGTTGCACTTCAGATGGCCCAGTCTCTGAATACTCAATATCATTTTAATTTTTTTGCAGTTGATTTTAATGAGGTAATATTTTAATATTTTTATATATAATAAATATATTTTCAATTATTTTGTGATGTCAAGTTTAAGTAATTAAGTCCTTTGTGTTTTAATGATTTGAAATCAGAATATGATGTATTTTGTGTCAAATTGTTTTTAACAAATCATGTTAATGAGTTTTTTAAAGAAATTCTTTTTATTTATAGATTTTTACAACTTAAACATTTTTGTTTAATAATATATAATAAATAATTAATGTTGTTCCTGAAAACGGATGCTACAATGGAATTGCACACATTCCTGATTTTTTATATATGGCATCACTGTTCCTGTCATTACATAACAACCTACATAAAGTAGGCTGGAAAACAATCGGTAAAATGAGGCCATGAGTTCTAAAGAGATGGGCTATGCTTACAGTGACCATATTTTTTGGGGGAAAATAAAGGACATGTCAAAGAAAATCAAAAAATACCTTATAAAATTTATAAGTTTATAACTTTTATTATGAAAATAGTAGCATACAACAATGTGTACATTAAAATTTTAAACAATCTGAATTATTACACATACACACATTGTAAAAATTTAAACAACATTAATTTTGATACTTTTCAGTAGAATTAATTTTTTTATAGCACCGTTTCACGCTTTAAAGTCATAAAATTCCATACGGTTCATTTGAAAGTTGTATTTGATGGAAATACATGCTTCTAATGTGCTTACTTTTAAATGGGTTTTTTTCATTCATCCGCATATTATTCAGCAATGAAAATATTCGTTCAACAGAGGCATTAGGTCCAGGGAGACAAAGAAAATTCTACGATTTTACAAATGTTTTTGAAAACAATTTCTTTTGCTATAAAATGTTCAAAAATCTCAATTCACCTTTGATGGCAGGGCTGGTTATTCTGTCACCATTCGTCAATCTTTTCATTTGTGACATATTTTTTTACACATGAAACTTCATCAAATAATTCACCGTCGAGTATATTTACGGACCAATGATTCGAAATAAGATATAGCTTTCCTCTACTTTCGCCNTGTTTTTATATTTTTCAATATATTTATTTTGTTTGTAAAAATAAAGAAATAATTTTTAACGATACAATATTTTTTACTTTTATTTGCTGGAAATTTTGAATTTAGGTGTGATTTGCGGATACAATAGCCACGATTATTATTATAAAAATTTTCGTTAGGCTTAACATCGATGAAAATTCAGCACGAAGTGACACGCAACGAAGAAAAATTTCAACATGGGATAGGGTAATATATTTTTTAGTACATAATCGGTTATTCGAAAAAGAAGTTATCCGGACAACCCCAGTCCCCAATTGATTCGGATAAACGATGCTCTACTGTAAAATGAAACTTTAGAGATGCCTACCTTTGTCAGACAACCTGTTTGTTTTTTTTTTTTTTACTTAATGCATGTGAAACACAATTATTTTGTTAGTGATACACTAAGACTTTTTTTGCAAGTTTACATGTTGTTATTCATTGATTTTTAACAATTTCTTCCTGAAATTTCTTTTCAACATTTTGGCACCTTGTATGCTTTGTAACCTTTAGTTCAAAATTTCCTGAATGAAACTTTCAAAACCACACATATGACATGTCCAACATTTAGGAGCATCTTTCCCATATACTATGAATATTTTTTACTGTTTGTATAGCATTATATTTTTTGCAAAACTTAAAAAGCATAATGTGCCTGATATGCATTTTATCTACAGATTTTGATTTGATTTTATTCAAACAAAATGCAAGTAAAGTTTTAAAATAAGCTTCTAAACAAAGAATACAATATCATATTAACAGTAATGTGTTAAATTTCACAACTACTGTAATTAAACTACATACCTATATCAGAAATCACCCTAAGCATGAAAATAGCAAATTTACCAACACCTTATTTGCCGAGAAAAATATATCTATGTTAGGTAAAGATGGTCAGGTGGCAATGTCTTCTACATTCACCTGTGTGTTGATGTGAGTCATGGCCTTGCAACATTATCCTCTCCAGTGGATGTTGATAACCATCCAAGTCACTGCTCATCTCTGAGTTTCACACTTATCATGGAATTGTCTGCATTGTTGCTGTAACATTTTACTTTGACATTATGTCTAATTCATACACTTCTACCAGCTGCTTATGGATCTCAGTGTCAAATGTGCTAAGTGCCCATTAATAGTGGACAACTGCTCACACTTTATCCTTTGTATATCTCTGAAAGTGACATTTGCTATCTTGTTTCTCAGTGTATTGGGCAAGCATTTGTGATAACTTCTGACTACTGATGCTCATGCACAACATGCACCTTATGACAAAACAGAATGCATTTTAAGAATGATGATGTCTCTACAAGTTAGTACATGATATTTTTTATCCTATAAGCAATGTTGTAACTAGCTTTTCATCTGGCTTATACAAGGTTTTATTTTTGTACTTTTTGATTTTTTGGGAAATAAATTAATAATAAAACAAATATGATAAAGCAATTGTTTATAAATAATTTTTATATGCAAGAATTATTTAGGATCATTTACATGTATTTATAAACTATAATATTATTACTGTATATTTAACAATTTTTTATGTCAGTTTTTTTTTGAGGCCTTTTTGTCATAGACCCTATCTATGCACCTGTCTAGTTGTGGTACTGCCTATAAGTGCATTGACTTTGAAAATATGGATACAGGAAACTTACTTTCAGACTATTCTATATTCTATATATATATAACAAATAAATAAATATTTTAATTTTTATTCAATCAAAATTTTAAATAAGGTTATTCATTTTAGAAAAGGTCAATTTCAAGGTATTCCTGTAATTTTTGTTCCTGGAAATGCTGGAAGTTATCGTCAAGTTCGTTCTGCAGGATCAGTTGCACTTCAGATGGCCCAGTCTCTGAATACTCAATATCATTTTAATTTTTTTGCAGTTGATTTTAATGAGGTAATATTTTAATATTTTTATATATAATAAATATATTTTCAATTATTTTGTGATGTCAAGTTTAAGTAATTAAGTCCTTTGTGTTTTAATGATTTGAAATCAGAATATGATGTATTTTGTGTCAAATTGTTTTTAACAAATCATGTTAATGAGTTTTTTAAAGAAATTCTTTTTATTTATAGATTTTTACAACTTAAACATTTTTGTTTAATAATATATAATAAATAATTAATGTTGTTCCTGAAAACGGATGCTACAATGGAATTGCACACATTCCTGATTTTTTATATATGGCATCACTGTTCCTGTCATTACATAACAACCTACATAAAGTAGGCTGAAAAACAATCGGTAAAATGAGGCCATGAGTTCTAAAGAGATGGGCTATGCTTACAGTGACCATATTTTTTGGGGGAAAATAAAGGACATGTCAAAGAAAATCAAAAAATACCTTATAAAATTTATAAGTTTATAACTTTTATTATGAAAATAGTAGCATACAACAATGTGTACATTAAAATTTTAAACAATCTGAATTATTACACATACACACATTGTAAAAATTTAAACAACATTAATTTTGATACTTTTCAGTAGAATTAATTTTTTTATAGCACCGTTTCACGCTTTAAAGTCATAAAATTCCATACGGTTCATTTGAAAGTTGTATTTGATGGAAATACATGCTTCTAATGTGCTTACTTTTAAATGGGTTTTTTTCATTCATCCGCATATTATTCAGCAATGAAAATATTCGTTCAACAGAGGCATTAGGTCCAGGGAGACAAAGAAAATTCTACGATTTTACAAATGTTTTTGAAAACAATTTCTTTTGCTGTAAAATGTTCAAAAATCTCAATTCACCTTTGATGGCAGGGCTGGTTATTCTGTCACCATTCGTCGATCTTTTCGTTTGTGACATATTTTTTTACACATGAAACTTCATCAAATAATTCACCGTCGAGTATATTTACGGACCAATGATTCGAAATAAAGATATAGCTTTCCTCTACTTTCGCCCACAAAGGGATTTCGCATAATGTGACCCATTCAAACACCTCTATTTCAATAAAAAACATGTCCCAATTATTTAGATAATCTATGCACGTTTGATAAAATGTGTACACAGCATCATTGAATTTTTTGGCTTGTATATTTTCTGATTTTTCTAATGCTAAAACCACTTTTCTAATAACAATAGGAAGAAACCCCTCATTTTTTCTTTCAACTAACTTCAGCTTTAATTAACAAGTGTATCATCCATCAACTAGAGAGTTAAAAAACTATCACAAAAATCCCCATAAGAGTGTCCACCCCCTGGTACTGTCAGTGGGCCGTTTGGTTGGCGACACACTGCACTACTGCGCTCTATGTAGCAATGCAACACTGGTCGTGATGGCGTATACAAAACTAACTTGTTCAATATATTATTAAAAAAAATTTTTTTAAACTTTGCGTTAACTTTACAAAATAAAGGACAAAATGCCTATTTTAGAAAATAAATAAAGTTAAAGGACAGAGCAGTGAAATAAAGGACTGTCCTCTTAAATAAAGGACGTATGGTCACTGTAGCTATGCTTAAAGATAAAGTGCCCACAAAAGGAATTGGCAGATGAATAATGCAATTTCATTGAAGCATTCGTTTTCAGGAACAACATTAATGTATGTTTGAGCCATGTCCAGAATGTTGCAAGTTCGGATAGCAGAACATGAAGTGGATATTGCCAATAAGAAACTCACAACTGAGCTTTCAAAAAGTGTATTAGAGCATGGCTACATACCCCTTTGGGCTAATACTAGATTACTGAGATGGTGGTATGACAAAATAACTTTATTCTTATGAGAAAATCTTTATATCACATCAGTTTAACCCTGTAATACCCTACCATCGATATTCTGCATCTATGGATAGAATTATTTAAGCAATTATCTTTGTAGATGTTCTAAAGATCTTTACACTTAGAAGTTATATTTTTGTATAAAATTTCATGTACATTGCATTTTTATTAGACTGTTCTAAGTTTTGTTGAATATTTAATATTCTAACATTGTGCCTTAACTGATTTTAAAAAAGAAATGTTTCATCATTTAGGTTCTATTCTTATGTTTGAAGTTTGTGCTTGATTTTTGCCTGATGACGAAGGCTATAAGTTTTTGAAAGTACTCAAACTTTTAACAAATACATGTATTTTAATGTTGGTTAGGTGTGGTTTCTTTCCCATATAGTCACACTGTATGTATTTAATACTATAAAAACAACTTATTAAATCATAGTACTATTATTCAAACTTAAAAAATGCAGTATAATTGTAATTTTTAAACGTTTTTGGTTGTCTTAAACAAACATCTTTAGGACAAATTGAAACAAATTTCAATTTAAAAAGAAAAAAAAAAAGCTGAAATGTGGAAAGCACATATCAAAAATGTGGGAAATCAAACATGCACATTTAAATTTTTGTTGTTCTAAAACATTAATATTTGAAATCAGCTTGTTCCAGAGGACATTCCAGCTTTTGTTCATCTTTTTAAATAGAAATTTGTTTCTTTCTGTCTTGAAGGTCATTTTAAGGTGACTAAAAACTTTTGAAAATTAAAATTATACTGCATTTTTAAAGGTTTGAGTAGTAGTAGTGTGGTTTATGACAAGTGAAGTTTTCAGGAAAGTGCAATTTATTAAAAAAATTTGAATAAATGTTTGATTTTTTTTGCTATGATAATAATAAATATAATGAACATGAATATAAATATATGATATTTTATTTATTAGTTATTAGATGTTAAGAAAACTTTGATATTTTTATATTCTAATATTTACTTGATATTTAATTTTCAGGAACTATCTGCATTATTTGGTGGTGTTTTAGAAAAGCAAACAGGTATTAAAAAATTTAACAATCATAATTAAATTCTGATTGTTAAATTTTAGTTATTAGATATAATTAAATTAAGTTTTTTTTAAAAAGTAAAGCATACAACATTTTACAATGTAAATGTAAACTAAATATTATGGTCAAATTCTTATTTCAATTAATTATTAAAACCTTTACCCAGCTTCAGTTTTTGCATAAAATCAATCACAAAATATGATTCAAAAATGTGTGAACAATGATCTATATGATAATATAAAGTACAGTACATTTTAATCTTGTATATTAAATATATTATTATTAATATTTTGAATAATATATACAGTTGAATCTGTCTATTTTGAATCTTGTGGGAGTGAGAAAAAAAATTCAAGATAAACAGGTTTTGAGATATAGAGGTTCCTACAGAAAACAGTAATAGATTTGATTGGAGGTACAGTATTTTATTAATACAATAGCAAATATAGTACATACATATAGTAGGTAATAATAAAAGATTTTTGACATACCTTAATATAATTTAATATAGTATAATATACACCTTAAATAGTTTGTCAATAGTTTCTGATGCCCACTTTCTTCAGCCAATAAGACACAAGCCAAACTCACAGCCAATCAGAGAAAAGCAGCATTAATTGCAACTGTATACTGTATTGTAAGAGATGTTTCTCAACTGCAATTTATACTACCAAAATGTAGTTGCTGAGATTTGAATTTGTAATTGACATTTCAGTTCATAATTTGAGATGAAGGTTTTGGGAGAAAATTATTTGAAATAAACATGGAAGATATATTGAATTTATGCTGAAAATGCAGGGAGAAAAATAAATTTTGAGATAAAGAAGTTTCCAAGATAAACATATTTGAGAGAGACAGGTTCAACTGTATTTTTTATTTACATAATTGTTATTTAGCTAGAACATTTTCTTATGATTTATAAAACTAACAAATTCTATGTAAAACTAACAATGTAATCTGTGGGGCATTCCATTTCAGTTCAGATAGGAGTTAACATGATCCAGATTTTGATGATTTTCATGGAGTGGTTTTGTTTTATATCTATGTGAAGCTTTGCCAAAACATTTTGAAAAATTTTTATTTTATATTAGTTTTCAGAATTTGAACTTTTTGAAAAAGCTGTTTACTTGAACATATAACTTTGAAAGTAAGTTCAATATGGAGATGTGATTTGTTGAATTATATAGTTTAAAGGTCAGGAAACAATAGTTCATAGTTCATTTTTTGATTTGAACATTTTTTTTGTTGTTTATAAATTTCAAATTTACTGTATTTACTCACGTATAAGATGACCTTGTATATAGGATGAGGTGTGACTTTAAAGATCAAAATAAAGAAAATTAGAATTATTAATACAATTCTAATTTTATTTCATTTAACCACAAGTAAAATATCAAATGAACATAAATGCACCACATTATCCCACAAAAATTACTGGCATTTTAAACTTTAGGGAAAACTTATAAAATCGACAACATAATTTTTGTTCTTGTGAAGCAGGTGAATTGGGAACCTTTTTTTGCCAATTCTTAACAGTCTAATCCACTCTCCATTGATTACACTTATGAGTTTCTCCAAATTCTGATTTCCGAATAATCATCTGTTTTCACGTGGGAATGGATTAAAACATATTGGGCCTCCCATGTAATTTTGGAATTTAATTCAAAAGCTTTGCTTTTCCTATTGCTATTCATCTTTACTCCTGACAATATACAAGAACAATTCAAACGACCCAGATAAAATACTTATGTTTTTAAATACAAGAAGTTAAGCATCTGGAAAAAATGCAAATACATGGTTTACAAAAATTATTTGCAAAAAGACAAAGAATCTTTCACTTGCACATATAGGACAACCTAGGAATTTGAAGCTGTGATAAATGAATAAAAACTTCATCTTATATGTGAGTAAATACCGTATTTATTTTATTTATTACATATAAAGAAGGAAATGTCACAAGACAATTAATATCATCTCTGGTAAATAATACTCATAACAAAGAATTAAAATACAACTAACAAATAAGTTGAATCGATAAGTATATATATTTAAATATAACTAAAATAATAAAAATTACAAATTATAAAGTAACTGTTTACAGATGTGTTTAAAATGTAAAAAATCTTATGTAAAGATTGTTCCACTAAGCCCATATTCTGAATAGACCAATAGAAGGATTTGAAAGTGGCCAGCCTAGAGGATGGAGTAAAAAAAAAACAAGTTTGATTATGAGTAATGCTTAGTGGAATTCTAACATACAGACAATCAGAATGAATGAAACCATGGAAATATTTAAATAAAAATAAACAATCAAAATATTTGACATGTTTGGAAAAATTGACAATTTTCAATCTGGACCTAGCTACATTAGAATTAGGGGTAAAATGAAGGTTACAAAGTTTATTTAAAATAAGAAATACTTTACCTCATTCTTTTAATATCTTTTCTAAATGGGAAGAAACAGTCATAGCCCATATTGGCAGACAATAATCAAGTAAAGACTGAATATTGAGAAATTAAATGGATTATAATACTGTTTTATAAGAAATAGTTTTGCAAAAGTGCCAAAGAATTCTACAATGAATATAAGGATTTAATGATTTTATCAACATGTCCTTGGAATGTAAGTTTGGTATCAAAATAATACTGAGGTCATTAAAGAATTAACATATTTTATGGATTTATTATCTATGTAGAAAATGAGTAACTGAGTATTATGAATTAATGAAAAAAACATTATTACAGTTTTTTGGCATTAAGTTTTTAGATTAGCATTTTCCAGGACAGGAAGTCAAATGGTGTAGATAAGTCTGAAGCACCTGAGGGTTGTGGTTGATCACTTTAATATAGTCAGTATAGGATATTACAGGTGAAGTAATTTGACCAAGTATATTGTTCATATAAGCTGAAAAACAAAGACTGCCTAAAGTTGAATCTTGCTGAATGCCACATAAGGGAGGAAAATTCAAAAATTCAAAATCACAAAGTTTAATTTTACAGGTACTGTATGTAGAAGATAGTAATTACTATGCTAGGATTGATATGCAGGTTTCAGTTTTGAAGTATATTCTAATGAGGGGATGGCATGACATTGGGATCACTAATTTTGATCAAACTTGGTGAGGTTATTATGCATTCCCAATGACTGACATGTGCCAAATAGTAATGTGTACTATTCAAAATTAAAGGAGAAAACTGAGGTTGAAAATTGCAAATCACTTAAAACCTACAGAATTTCTTTCATTTGTATTGTGGTTGTGGCTTGGTGAGGGCACGTCAGTTTCATTACAGTGAGTTTGTATTTTGAATCTTAGTGGTATCAATGTATATTTTTTTTATACAATATTATAATTTTTAATTTTTGATATTTTTAAATTTATAATATTGTTAGAGAGAAAAACTGATTTATTTTTAGAAAACTACAAATGAACAATAAACAGGGTAATAAAACAAAGTCCATCTGTTTCAAGTAACAAGTCAATCTCAAAAGCAATTAACAAATGCTTCCTAACAATATTTATTTAAAATCAAAACATTTTCTGTATTTTCATGTACAGTTCATACTTACTCTGACAACAAAGTCATTGTTTAACTTAAATACCTCTATAATTGCATCTTCATTTTGCTAAAGAATGAAAAGATGGCTTTGATATCTTGTGCTAAAATTGATAGCATAGAAATTTGTTCTGCAGAAGAATCACTGCATAACAATATTACAAAATTTACATATTATGAAAGCATCCTTCAAAATCAAGACCTAATTGCAGCCAAGAGTTCTTTAACAATTTCAGAAGTTGCAAAGGTGGTAAGAAAAAAAAAACTTTTATAAGCACTCTGATATTTTGCAATGTGATATGATATGAATAATTTCCCTCCAAATTAGTTGATGATGGAGAAGTGTTTTTAAACATTAATTTTGTTTTTCCAGTGACATATGTAAATCTTTTTACTATAAAAAATCTGCATTTATTTAATGCCTACATCACAGAAATGTTTATAGTTTCATATGCTTATAAGACAATTATCATTTACAAAATTGTGCTCACAGAAAGCAAACAGATTGAATAATGTTAATAAAAAGGTCTTTTTTATTAACAAAATTGGCCTTGAATAATAATAATTTTGTTTAAATCTAATCCTCTTCCCAAATAAATTATAAATAAATGTTAGTATGAATTCCATATATACTGTACTGTACATGAATATTTGAAAATAACTTTTAAATGAATAAAATAAATTCAAAAATACAATACAATCTTCTGAAAGCCAATCAACCTAAAATTTCGGTTAACTGAAAATGTTCCAGTCGGACTGTGTCATGCTGAATTGAACGTTTTTGATACTAGATTAACTTCTAAAGTATAATTTTTTTTGTTTTTATATTTTTCAATATATTTATTTTGTTTGTACAAAATAAAGAAATAATTTTTAACAACACAGGTATACCTCGCCTTATGTCGGTAATTGGTTCCAGGAAAACGACGTAAGTCGAATTTACTTGTCTCCGAATCTACTTATCACTAGGCTAAACTGTAAATTACCATTCCCGGTTCTGTATTTTATTTATTAATGCATTTTTAATAATATATGGTTAATAAAAATCTATTTTAAGCTTACAAACAAATAAATTTTAGTTTTTAATATAGTACAGAAAAAAGTATTCTAAATTTACGAATGCATGTACTGTAAATACAGAA